ATGATTGATTATTTTTTCATGTCAATTGTATTTAGGAACTTTGATTGGGGGTCAGGTGACAACAAATTTTGTCAAAATTGTTCTAGCACTTACCTCATTATTTTATTCTTTGTATTTATAAGGGGTGGGGACTTTTTTTTCATTAATCCCTCCAAAAAGATAATATCCTTAATTTTAAAACATATAAGCCTCAAAAGTAAACAAAAAAAAAACAAATTTCAGTATCTTTTGCTCATTGTAAAATATCCTCCAATAATGATTTTTCTTTTAAGAGTTCCTGCAACAAAAAATGACATCAATGTTCTATACTGATATTTTTTCTCTTTTCATTTTCTGACAGTATCATTTCATCATATTTCATTGGTAATAAAGAGGTTTCACTCAGGCAGCTTCTTCCCAAGGGCCATTACTTTATGAAACAAATTCCTGAGAGCATGCCTACCAGAACATTCCAAATTTAACCTTTTCAAGTTTTGGGTACCCTACATAGCCTCATAATCAGCACTTACTTAAGAAGAGGAAATAAGTTCATATAACAACCTCATTCAGTTGCTCCCCCTCTATCTTGAGTGCCATTTGGGCTTTGTATTGAGTGAATATCTAACATAAAAAAGTAGCTCTTTTTGAATGAGGGTGCAAAGTGCTGACAAATTAACTGATCTACACTCTTATGCATATTAATTGAAACAACTACTTTAGTTTCCTTTCTTTCACCATTCAGCCAGTTTTAAACCCACTGGAGTGGCAGGGTATAATCAATTTCTATTTTTTCCTCAGATTAGATCATGTGCAGTGCTGTGCAGCAATATGAATCTATTTTTGGGGTGTATGATGAAATTTGTTTGGCCTTGAAAAATATTGCGTCATCCATCATTGTATCAGATTTTTATCATGCCCAGACACTATTGTCTCAACTGTCAATTAGTTGTTCTACAGCCATTGTGTGTAATGGATGTTGCTCTAAGGAAGCATACAAAAATTGTAATGCTGCATGAACACACTGGCAAGCCTTACCAGTAAGCAAATCAAAGTACTATAGATTGGCCCAGAAATTCTCCTGATTTAAATCCATTTGAGAATCTGTGGCCAATCTGCAAGGAATGACTTCATGGAATGGACATACAAAGTACTAACATGTGCACTGGGTCATGTTTCATTGAAAAAAATATAAAAAAAAAAAAAGTAAATAATAATGGAATTATTTGTTTTGTTTCAATTAATTTGCATCAGGGTGTAGAATCCAACTAAAAAGATATACAAGACTGATCACTCAGGAAAGAGGGTAAAATGTTTTGACTCTCAGGGACCAAATTGTTTAACCAACAAATTAAGTTTCTAATAAATGAAAAAAACTTTCTTTTTTTTGGCTTCTTTCAAATAAATGGGCATAGTTTACAATTATGGATGTCAGCTTTTGATAGGAATAACAAAAATATTTCCTTCTAATTTTCCCACTCATTTGCACAAGAATTTTCTGGATTTTAATAACAACAGGTAAAAAAGTTGTCTTCATAACATATAATTTCTTTTTCTCTATTTCTCTGTCAAGATTTTAATATTTGTCCATCTTTTCACTCTCTTTCAGTTGCATCGCTTGGAATGGTAGGAATCATTTTCTGCCAGAATTTATGCTCTTGGCTTAATTAAACTAAATCTTGAAGCCTGGCCTGGAAAAAAGGATCCATCTTCATTTCAAACTCTCAAAGAATCTATTTATAGTCTCCAAAACAGCTTCTGGTATGTACTTGTACCAATTTTCTGCTTAGTTTATTATTTTGTACCTGTTAAATTTTCTCTTGAGTGTTTACATAAACATACCATTGCAAACTTATTACTATTCTATTGCTATTTCCATGGCAAATGTTCAGACAAGCACCATTCTTTAGTACCACCAGTTCAGATCGTTACAACTACGATATGCTAAGCCACTTTCATGGAGTTGAATCACCCATATTTTCTCCATATTCCAAGTCAGCTTTTTTTTTTTAGAACTGCCAATTTGCATAACAGACTCCCACGTGGGTGCTTCCCGGAACATTGTGGTTTTGATCTCTTCAAGTCAAGGGTTAATCTTTATCTTCCTTATCCTCATAAATTTAATTTCCTCCCACCTCCTCTTCCATTTGTATCACACACCTCATTCATCATTACCATTTTAATAGTAATTCTCTAACTTGAGTAGCTCTCGAACCTTATATTGGATGAAATTTAAAAAAAAAATAATATCCACTAGCTCTTTCAGGAGATCAAATAACAAGAATTTTCAAATAACATATGATGAAACTTTTGTACAATAATTTGGTAAAATCTAAATATTAAGAATTAATTTGAAATCCACACCTTTTCCAGATATTCTTTGGTAAGAAGGATGTTCCATTCTGAAAGATTCTTCAGAAGAGCCACTACTTTGTGGGACAAACTTCCACATGGATGCTCCCCAGAAGACTACAATCTTAACAAGTCTAGAATCAATAGTTATCGATCTGCCATGTGCTTGTAATTTTCACTATAAGCAAAATAAATAATACATAAATTACTATGCAAAAATGTGCTGAATTGTATATGGATTTTATATGCACCTGTCTTATCATGCAATTGTGGCATTGCAGCTCAGACCATGCAGCTTCTTCCAGTCAAATGCCTCTGGCTTAAAAATAACCTTCAGCCAGATCGTCAGCCATGAATTAAAACCATGAGCCAATTGTAGCAGTAAGCAGATTTTATTTTCTAATTGTAACCTACTGCTTATAGACAAATGAGGCAGAGATGAAATGTAGGTGAGATGGGAGGTGAACTGTCTAATGGGCATTTTCACTTTCACATCATTCTCAAGATGGTCTTTTTGTCACTCTTCCTTTCACACTAATAGTGATCATTGTCTTATAGAGGACATTGTTCTTTGTATTGTCATCTTTGTCTAAAACAGTAATTTACCTTCATTCAGTGACCTACTTTGTCCCAGCAGCTTGTCATGGTACTTGTAAAGTCCACTTCACTTAGATGATAATTATCAGAAAAATAAATGTCCAAAACTATTTTTGTGACAAGTCATCTATTTTCCATTTAACAAGATATAGCTGACACTGATATCGCTACACAATCTCCCCACCAAACTAACATTGGTCATCATTGATGGTCATATTAAGTCATAAAAATCATGACTCATGGACTATGTGGACTAAAATAAAATTTTCATCAAGCATCATTTGAATATACTCTGACTTATTCAAACTATTGTTCTCATCTTGGATTTTTATTTTATTACAGAGACAACATTTCAACCTAGTGCCCTGTATTCATCTTCAGGTGTCCTTTATTTTAGTTGATGTGAGATATCTTGTGTTGATTATTGTTATTTTGCTATCTGATCCAGGAATTGAACTCACCACTACTAAATCATTTCATTAAACAATGTCTATATCCATGGAGAAGGCATGGTGGTGTAATGAATAGCGGCTTGGACTGAGGAGTCAGAGAGCCAAATTCGAAATCCAGTCAAATCCGTTACATTCATTTATGTACTAATACCCTTGGGAAAGGTATGAATCCTCTTCTTCTCCCCCCCCAGCTATGGGTAAATAGAAGAACAGACTGGGTTCTGTAGCCGTGGGTGGAGACTAGTCTACCGCAGAAAGAAATAGCTACCTACTGCGGGGAAAAATCTGCCTTGTCAGTCATGTATCAAAAGCATGTATCACACATAACTGACTATATTGATTACGCCACAATCCTAAAGGCTATCAATGTTGTATTTTTTAGACTCTTTAGATATTTCTGACATTTGGCTATCACAACGGCTTTTCTTATTTTGATAATTTTGTCCAAGCCTAGATCAGGTAGCAAAATAGACACTGGTTCATCTGGAATGAACAAGAACTGGATCCATAGGCAAACATTTTCAGCAGATATCTCATGTTCGATTAAACAATGAATACCTGAAGATAACCATTGTGTACTTAGCTGAAACATTGTCTCTATAATAACATTTAAAGATAGGAACAATAGTTCAAATAAGTTAAAATACATTGACGGCATGTACAGTTTGGTGTAAAAGATATCAGCTTGGAATCAGAAATCAGGAAACCAAGTCTGAATTCCAGTCAAATGTATTACATTCACTTATATGCAAATACCCTTGGGATAGGTAAGATTCCATCTCTTTTCTCCACAGTTATGAGTTAAATAGCAGGGCAGACTTGGTTCTAAAGCCTTGGTTGGTAACTAGTCTACTGCAGAAAGAAATGACAACCTACTTCAGGAAAATCTGCCTAGTCATTCATGAATCAAAAGAGACATGATCTCCCAAGTGTATATCATGTATGGCACTTAACTGAAAGAGTCAACAATTATTTAGAGAAGAAAAGGTAAAGAAGTTGTGGAGAGCCATGTTCGTCCAACTGACTGACATTGATAACTCTTCATCTGTAAAAGGATTTTGTTTTGAACGTAAATCTGCAGCAAAAAAATTTCAGTAATTTACATTGAAAAATGCTTCCTAAAGAATGAATTTTGACCTGTAAGAATGTTCAAAATCAGGTTTTGTGTTAATTAAAATTTTGTTTTAAAAATAATATTCAAAGACATTTGTAAAGGCAGCATTATTTTTTTTAAATTTTTTGGCACATTTCAAAAAAGTCATTTATGAAAAAATCAGAGTGATTGAAATTGTAATTTATCACTGGCATCTTTGGCTGAAGCAAAAGTCTCCTGTACAAATAAAATAATAAAAATTTTGTTGATATCAAAAACTAAAATGTACAACTGCAGTTTAATAATTAAAAAACAATGACACAAGTCATGAGAAATTATATTTTGAGAAAATAAGATGTGAACTTTCTGAGATAAGGAAGTGTTGTGTTGTAGTTTCTGGATACTCCATGATGTCGGGTGTTGATTGAACTTTTATGCTATTTATCGAATGCTGTTTTCTGTTAAATGCAAAAATGACATCTGCATCTTATAAATATGACTTTTTAAAAAATATAAATGTAGACAGTTTTATGTCGGTTTGCTTTCTTTTTTTTCTGTTATCTTTGTTATTGTTTTTATTGCTTTGCTTTCTTTACCTGTTTTTTCTTTTGACTTGTTACCTGTTTATTTAGTATTTGTTATTTCTTTCCTTTTCTTCAATTTCTTTCTTTATTGATTGTTATTCTTTTCTTTCAATACAGACATTTTTTTTTCTTCTTTTTTTTGGGGTGGGGGCATTTTCCCTTCTTTCCTCATTCATTCCTGATTTAATTTGTTAAAGTTTAACACAGGCACGTGAAAAAAGACAGGGGCATAAATTGGTTGCAAAGATATAACAGCAACCAAATTTTGGACACCAATATGAATAAATCAATGTGCAACAAGGCAGAAACAATAGTAGTAGTAAGGGGAGGAGGAGGAGTGGTGCTGCTGCTTCCTCTTTAATGTATTGTACGATTATTCAGCTTGTATATACAACTATCTCACTTTGCAAACTACTCCAGTCTTGATAACCATTACACAACTGACACTATATTGAAAGTGTGTCTCAATGTTTTAACGTCTCCCCAATCTTTCTTTTTTTCTTCCTTTCTGTATTTCTTATACTAGCTCTTTTTAAACATCTCCCCAGTTTTTAGTTTCTTTCTTTTTTCTTTCTTTCTTTCTTTCTTTCACCCTACTCTACTTTTTCTTAACATCTCACCATTTTCTTAATATCTTTCCATGCTTTTTTCTCTTTCTTTCTTTCTTCATATCTTCCCAATCTTTCTTTCTACACTGTGTGACAGAAATACCTCCCACATAATGGTAAGATATGAGCTTAATGACAAAACCTTTGCCAATGATATCTTACCATTAGGTGGAATGTATTTCTGCTGCATACTGTATTTCTCAATATTTTTCATGCTAGCTTTCTAACTTTATTTTTTCTTTCTTACTTTCTTCCCATGTTCTCACTCTTTCGTTCTCTTTTCTTTCTTTCTTTTTACTCTACCTTTTTTCTTAATATCTCTCCACTTTTCACTTTTTTAACATCTTTCTTTCTTTCTTCATATCTTCCCAATCTTTCTTTCTTTCTTCATATCTTCCCAATTTTAATTTCTTTCTTTCTTTCCTCTTTCATATCTTACCAATTTTAATTTCTTTCTTTCTTTTTCCTCTTTCCTATATCTTGTCAATCTTTCTTTCTTTTATCTTTATTTTCTTTCCAAGCTTTCTTTCTTTTTTTTTCTTTCATTTTTTCCTTCTTCTTTCTTTTTTTCTTTCTTTTTCTTTCTTTCTTCATATCTTCCCAATTTTTTCTTTCTTTCCTCCTTCATATCTTCTCAATCTTTCTTTCTTTTCTTTTCTTTCTTTCTTTTTTCCAAGCTTTCTTTCTTTCTTTTCTTCATCCTTTCCAAACTTTCATTCTTTCTTTCCCTATCTTTCCAATTTTCTTTCTTTCCTCCTTCCTTCCCAAATCTTTCTCAATCTTTCTTTCTTTTCTTTCTTTCTTTCTTTTTTTCTTTCTTTCTTTCTTTATTTCTTTCTTTCTTTCTTTCTTTCTTTCTTTCCAAGCTTTCATTCTTTCTTTCTTCTTTCTTTCCAAGCTTTCTTTCTTTCTTTTTTCTTCATCCTTCCCAAACTTTTCTTTTTTTCCTTCACATTTTCCTACTATTTCTTTCTTTCTTCATATCTTCCCAATTTTTCTTTCTTTCCTCCTTCATATCTTCTCAATCTTTCTTTCTTTCTTTCTTTCTTTCTTTCTTTCCAAGCTTTCTTTCTTTCTTTTTTCTTCATCCCTTCCCAAACTTTCTTTCTTTCTTCCTATCTTCCCAATTTTTCTTTCTTTCCTCCTTCATATCTTCTCAATCTTTCTTTCTTTCTTTTTCTTTCTTTCTTTCTTTCTTTCTTTCTTTCTTTCCAAGCTTTCATTCTTTCTTTCTTCTTTCTTTCCAAGCTTTCTTTCTTTCTTTTTTTCTTCGTCCCTTCCCAAACTTTCTTTTTTCTTCACATTTTCCTACTATTTCTTTCTTTCTTCATATCTTCCCAATTTTTCTTTCTTTCCTCCTTCATATCTTCTCAATCTTTCTTTCTTTCTTTCTTTCTTTCTTTCTTTCTTTCTTTCTTTCTAAGCTTTCTTTCTTTCTTTTTTATTCATCCCTTCCCAAACTTTCTTTCTTTCTTCCTATCTTCCCAATTTTTCTTTCTTTCCTCCTTCATATCTTCTCAATCTTTCTTTCTTTCTTTTTCTTTCTTTCTTTCTTGCTTTCTTTCTTTCCAAGCTTTCTTTCTTTCTTCTTTCTTTCCAAGCTTTCTTTCTTTCTTTTTTTCTTCATCCCTTCCCAAACTTTCTTTTTTCTTCACATTTTCCTACTATTTCTTTCTTTCTTCATATCTTCCCAATTTTTCATTCTTTCCTTCTTCATATCATCTCAATCTTTCTTTCTTTCTTTTTTTTTCTTTCTTTCTTTCTTTCTTTCTTTCTTTCTTTTTTTCTTTCTTTCTTTCTTTCTTTCTTGCTTTCTTTCTTTCGAAGTTTCTTTCTTTCTTTCGAAGCTTTCTTTCTTTCTTTCTTTTTTTCTTCATCCCTTCCCAAACTTTCTTTTTTCTTCACATTTTCCTTCTATTTCTTTCTTTCTTTCTTCATATCTCTTCAATCTTTCTATTTCTCAATATCTCCACATGTTTTCATTCTTTCTTTCTGCTCTAACTTGTTTTATGTTGTTTATTAACTTTATACATAGAATAGTACAGTTCTGTCACTAATTGTAGAAATGCATATATACACGAGAAAAGGTGATACCTTACTTGTTAGTGCCTGTGGAATTTCCATGAAACCAGTTCAATTTTATTTCACAAAAATTTTATTTTTTGATGAAGAATTCGTCTTTTACGATGTTACTCTTTGAGACAATGCTTTTGGTTAAACTATTCTTCAGCCTTCCATTTTAAAGGTAAATATGGTAAATGTGGAATAAAAGAAATACTTTGTATCAGAATTTCAAAGTGTTTTAAGTACGCCAATGGCTATGAAGTATCATAGATCAGTCAGTTAAGTGCATTATAAATGCTTGGGCGATCATGTTACTTTTGATTCATGACTAACTAGACAGATTTTCTCGCAGTAGGTTGCTATTTCTTTCTGTGGTATACTGGTTGCCAACCAAAACTATAGGACCAAGTCTGTTCTGCTATTTAACCCATAGATGTGGGGAGAATAGATGGATCCATACCTTTCCTGAGAGTATTTGCACATAAGTGAATGTAATGAAACCAACCGGAATTCAAATTCAGCTCTCCAATTTCACCACATCACACATCCATGCATATAAATCAATCTAAATATAAGCACCCTCCCTAGTTTATGCCTGAGAAATGGGCAAAAATTCAGACTTGGTGTATAAGCCAAACCAATTAAGCAATACATTATGTTCAAATGATGCAGTTTTGTAGAGAATATTTTGAGGACGTGTTAATATATTGATATCTAAAATCAAATAAAACATAACACATGCAAATCAATTCTAATATTTAATAAATGAAAATTAATTAGGAAACCAATCACTCTGGAAGAAATGAATAAAATTAATAAAGATAGTGAGTATTAAAGATATTCTGTAAGATGCTTGTAAAATCTAAATAAAATGTGTTTCATTGTATATATTTTGGCACCTTTTTATGTAGACATCAAATATTTTGGAAGTGTTTTAACAGATGAAGTTACATGTGACACCAAAATCTGATGTTGTATTGAAACTTTGAAAAATGCATTATGTAATCTAAACAAAGTGTAACAGGAAAGAGTTATGGAAGAAAGATTTATTCTCCCATTTGAATTTCCCCCATTAAGGGCATTATTATATCCATGATATAATAAAAGCGTAGTTCATGTATGGAACAGAATAGTTGAAAGGAAAACGTATGATAAACATGATTCTCAGAGTGACTTTTATACTACTAAGACTTACACAAAACTATATATATATATATATATATATATATATATATATATATATGTCTTACATGAAAAATAATATAGCACATATATGTACAGAGTGTACAAGAAACAAAGGAAGGGTTTTAAATATCATGTGGAGATACTCCTTTATCTGAAGAAACCATTTTTAGGACAGTGGATTAAATAGGTCAGATTCATGTATGTCCTACCGAGGACATATTCCAGGAAACAGCAAGTCTTGGATTTTCCAAAATTGAGTACTGTCAGCTGAAGTTTCTTTCTATATCTGGGAAAGATATATTCCCAAAGGGAAATGGTGCCATGGACTAGTAAGCTGCAGGTGAGGCAGATGTTGGGGGCTGCAAAAGAAAGCAACCTTGTGGTTTGCTTGCTGTAAACGAACTGAATTTGACTGATGCTATTGTCATTGTATGAAGTGATGTCACTAAATAGCTTTCATGTGACCCACATGATTTATCTCCACTAAAAGGAGATAAGCACCTTCTGTATCTTTACAGAAGTATTAAAAACAAATTTTGTTATAAGCAAAGAAAAGAGTACTGAAATGTTATTCTATCTTCTGTCTTCCTATATGTCAGTGAATGCGAGACAATCGCTTCACATATAAAGAGACTTGAAAAAACAGAAATGTGGTATGCTGAGATTAACATGGACAGAATATTAGAGCAATGACAAAGTTCTGTGGAAAATGGTAAAAAAAGACACTTATTCTTAGAATCAGAAAGAGATATTTGAAATTCCTAGGGCACATAATAATGAAAGTGTGCTTGGAGAATTTGACACTCACATTGAAGGTAAGAGAAACAGAGGAAAGCAGCAAACAACCTACCTAACAAGCTTGTGTAAATGCTTGGCAGAACATGGATTAGGAGAGATAACAAAAAGACAGAATTTATTAAGGACAGGAAGTTGTGAAGAGCCGTGATAACCCATGTCCTGCAGGGACACAGCACATAGTAGAAGTAGTTTAAGTTGGTGAACTCCTTGACTTTGAATATAAGCTTACTTTTATATGCAAATGAAAAGGACACTTATACTTAAAATCAGAAAGAGACAGTTAAAATTTCTAAACAACATAATGGTGGAAAGAAGGGTTGGAGAATTTGACACTTACAAGGCAAGAGTGACAAAGAGAAATACTAACCTAACTAACAAGCATGTGTAAATGGATGGCAGAAAAGGGAGCCAGATGGATTGTGAAAAGGTAAACCTTACTAAGAGCTACAAAGGACAGGAAGGTAGGGAGAGCCATGATCCTTCACATTCTGGATAGATGGGGAACATAGAAAAAGATTTCTTGCTTTATACATGATTATATACAATCAAGAGTAAAAGTTGAAGGGTGTATCAATAACTGATGGTGTGGGAGTAAAATTAAAGAATTTTATCTTCCAAATGGTTCAGGCAGTGGTTCAGCTTATCTCTGGAAACCAGGATATAAGACTGAAACTCATCGAATGCTAATTCGTCACACTACATTTTTAGAATGCAATTTGAAAGTCAAAGAATATATCAACTGAAAGCATTGCAATAAGGAAAAACAAAAAAGATGAAAATACAACAAAAAGATGTGTAGGGTAACAATATTTCATCTTTTTGACAATTTTGAATACAACAGCTTTCAAGATTTTCTGTGTTTGCTTACATTTCTTAACTCTGAAGATAAAAAGAATTCTTTCTTTGATTCATTGACCAAGATGATCAGAAATTGAATTATCAAAATTGGACTATCAGATTTACCAGGCTTCATAAATAAATGTTTTGCATACAATGATTCCAGTTTTATCCTTAAACAAACAAAATATTGTTGATGATTCTTTTGCCTCTCGTTCATTTTTTTTCTCCTTTACCAAAACATTTTGATAGTTCTGCAGAAAACTATGATATTTAACCAAATTCTGACCAAAAAGCTGCGTCCAAAATAGATCTCTTTTGCCATAATGGCTTTTAAGTTTTATATAGATTATTTAAGGTATTAACTTTCTGAAATAATTTTTCATTGCCTGTATAAGGAGATGCCTAAAAGTTCTGATTTTAATCCATTTCACAAAGTAGCCATATATCTAAGGTTTTTTTAACCTCTTCTTGGTTAGACTAAGATCTTTTCAACACTCCTCATATGAAGTATGTTCTTAAACACACACACACACATATATATAAATAAAGAGAAAAGGAAAAAATTTTCTTTAACAATGTGTTTTTGTCATCTGATGGACTTTATCAAGGCAAATGTAAGAATTTTATTTTGCGACATGCGTGTAAAAATATTGGGAGGTTTTCAAAATTTTTAAATTTAAGAATGAAAGTTAAGGTAAACTATGGAAGATGCTAAGTGATCTAATTTAATGCCTCATAAACAAAAGTAAGTAAATGCTGTTGAATTTTTATTTGTTTATATTTAATTATTTACACTATTTACATTATTCGAAGTATTGTCCTCATCTTTGTTGCAATATTTATTATAACGTTTTGGCCGTTGTATGCTCTGGCCTTCTTCAGGTGGTTGGAATGTCAAACTGAACTCTTTATTTTGCTCACTGGGGTAGTTCTATGTGCAATGTTTAATGGATGTCAGTTATCAGTTATCTCCTGTTAATTTCCCTCTCAAGTTCTCCAATGCCTTAACCAGGTATTGAACTCCCCCTGCACCCCTGCTTAGACGTGAACCCTGGAAAGGTCACTCCAGTCAAACCACCAATGGACTGAATTTTGACCAAACAAGATGCTATTTTTATCTTTCAAGATAAACATATGTCTACTATATGAATAAAGACAAAAGGAAAAACTTTTCTTTAACAATGCGTTTTGTCATATGAAAGCAAATGTAAGAATTTTATTTTGCAACATGTATTTATAAACAGAAGATATCGGTAGGTTTTCAAAATTTTTTACTTTCAGAATGCTCAAAAATATTCATAAGAAATGGAGGATGTCAGCTGATTTAATTTAATATATATATATATATATATACATATATTTTAAGACATTTTTATGTTTACACATTCTTTTTATAAATTCAAATATTTAAGTAAATGCTCTGTTTATAATAAACAGTATTAACAACATTTACTGACCTGAATGTCCATTAAATTTTCACAGAATTTTATATCTCGTATATAATGTGACCCCCTTAAAATTAGCTTCAAAACTTGCATGATATGAGAGTATATACAGTATATATTACATCACTTTATATATATATATATATATATATATATATACACACACACATATACACACACACATATATATATATATATATATATACACACACACACACATATATATACACACACACACATATATATATATACACACATATATATATATATATATTTAATATCACATGATATAATTTAAGATATATATATATATATATATATATATATATATATATATAACGTCATCCACAGACAGACAGACTGTTTCGCTGTTTCACAGCTCATCAGTGTGGCTAGACATCTGGTTGCCTCTACCTAGGATCGAAACCCGACTGAATTGGTGTCAGTCGGAGATTCTAACCATTAAGCCGTCGGCGCACGGTAGGGAAGAAAGTGGATTTTTAGCGTATTTATTTTTAGAAACACGCCCAGTGACCGACAGTGACTCAATTCGCATCTATATATATATTTAATATCTATTTTAATTGATATAATTTGATATATATATATCTATATCTATATATTTATTTAATATCTATTTTTAATTGATATAATTTAATATATATATAT